TTCGCCACCTCCACCACCAGCATCCTCCTGCGGAGCGGGGACACAGGGGTCACCCAAACGGCCGCTAGGACACCGCCAGAGCGCCCCGCCAAATCGCCTGGGAAGCCACCTGCGGCCGCGATTAGGCCCCGCCCCGAGGTCCGGAAGCCACGCCCCATCCCCTAAGTCCCGCCCCGCCCTCCTGAGTCCCGCCCCGCGGTACTGTTAGGCTCAGCCCAGTCCTCCCAAGTCTGGCCCCCGAGGCCCAGCCCCACAGCCTCCTCTGGGCCCTGACTTTAGCCGCTTCCGTCACCGAACCTTTGCGGTTCGGCTTTCAGGCCGAGTTCCAAGTAAGACTTCTTTAGCACCAAACCCCGCCCCCTTCCCGAATATAAGCGACTCGGCGTTCGGGGGTTCTCGGTTTGGCCGACTCTGCAGCCCCGCCCTGTCCCGAATGGAATCCGCCTTCGGTAGTTCTCGGCTCTCGCGTTCGGGCCTCCTCGGCTCCCGTCCGTCCCGCAGCCTGTGGCCCCGCCCCACGGGGAACCCCACCGCCCAGACCCCGCCTTCTGCTGTCCATTCTCCGCCGGGCGAGCTCACCCTACCCGTGAGCTCTCGGCCCGCGTCCTCGCTTCTCTCACACTGGGCCCTCTAAACACCAAGCTCGCAGTCCAGCCGCACGCCTCTTCCCTGGCCGCCCTGGTTCTGCAACCTGGGGACCAGCGTGAGCTCATTAGCCTGGCCCCGCCCCCTGGGCACGGAGTCCTCGCAGGGCTCCGCCCCGTTCCCCGCCTCCTTCAGTCGTCTGTGGTCCCGCCTTCCTCTTGAAGACCAGGAAGTGTCGGTTCCGCCTCTCTTTAAATCAAGGTCCCTTACATCCGGTTCTTTCCGAAGTGAACCGAAGCTTTGCCCCGCCTACCTCGCGCCATCTCCGTACTATCTCCGAAAGAAGCCGAATTTGTGACAGCGCCCACTTCCGAACACTGCCTTCTCCGAAGAATGCCGAACCGTGTGGCACCGCCCACACACTGTGGCTCTGCTCCCGATCGCGCCCGAAGGAACCCGGAGTGGAGCAGCGTCCTTCGGGCCGGAAG